GGAGGCTGAGGCAGGAGAATCGTGTGAACCTGGGAGGCGGAGGTTGCAGTGAGCTGAGATTGCACCACTGCACTCCAGCCTGGGCAACAGAGCGAGACTCTGTGTCCCTTCCCCCCACTCCACCTCCCCCCTAAAAAGATCCTCTTGACTTCTTTGATCTGCAGCATCCCCGTTTACCATCTGATTAGCAGTGCCCTCGGCTTCAGCTGCTATCTGTGCCTCCTGTTCCCGTCCCTGTTGAGCTGTTGAAAGCCCTCCCATCCGGAGATCAAAGGGCAAGGCACTCCACAGCTGCCACCTGTTTTCCTCCCCAGCCCCATCTGGGACCACACCCTTTCCAGGGCAGAAGTCTGCATGGACAGAAGTCTGTCTGACAATGGGTTCACTGTGCTCTTCTGACGGGGACCACCACCCACCCTACACCTGGGCCCCCATCAGGGTCTGCCTGTTGCCACAAATCCAACCTCTCGGAAGTCCTTGTGAACCTTGAACTCCTGAATTTCCCAGCCAAGCCAGGTGAGATGCACGGGAGGCACCCTTCCCTCCCCAGACACCCCTCCTCTCGTCCCGTTCTTCCTGCCACCCCAGATTGAGTGAGTCAGAGGAAATGATTTCTGCTCTGCACTTGGCACCAAGTTGTCACCCTGTCACCTCTGGGTAAGTGGCTCCCCTGTGTCCAGTATTCTGGGACTGTGTGTGTGTGTTTGGTAATGAGGAAGCAGGATACCCCAGGGAGCAGTGACACCCCCAGTCTGCACACCTGAATCCAGCCCCCTGCACTCCCCACCCCAGTGCCCATTCATCCTGGCACCCCACTGCCCTCTCCCCCCTGCATCACACCCCAGATGTCCACCTGCTTCCTTTAGGAGGCTGGGACAAGAATGCAAGAAGGAAGTGAAGGAGGCTGGGCAAAGATGGTGGCCGTGAGAGTCTAAAGGAAGGGGTGGATTGGAGAGCGGCTCAGAAAGTGAACTTGGCGTGGTGGCATTGGTGCCACTCAGCAGAGCATGCTGCCTGGCACCATGACAAGGGCATAGGTTTCTTCCCAGGAAGATGTAGGGCCAGTTCTGCTCCATCGTGGCTTAGGAGTCTTGAGCAAGTCATTTAACTCTCTAAACCTCAGTTTTCTTTTTTTTTTCTTTTTGGAGATTGAGTCTTGCTCTGTCGCCCAGGCTGGGGTGCAGTGGCACAATCTCGGCTCACTGCAACCTCTGCCTATGGGTTCAGGCAATTCTCATGCCTCAGCCTCCAGAGTAGCTGGGATTACAGGCACCCACCACCATGCCTGGCTAAGTTTTGTATTTTTAGTAGAGATGGGATTCACCATGTTGGCCAGGCTGGTCTCGAACTCCTGACCTCTGGTGATCTACTGCCTCAGCTGCCCAAAGTGCTAGGATCACAGGCATAAGTCACCATGCCCAGCCTGAACCTCAGTTTCCTTACTGGTGACATGGGGACAATAAGAGGATAAGATGAGTTCAGAGGAGCCATGTGGGGCTTTAGGGGAACAGCTGAAGGGATACTGGTCTAGTGGCATTTGATGGAGTCCCTCACTGAGGCTTGAGGCCTATTCCCTCCACCATTCTGGGAGGTGCACCGTCACACCCATCTTTCAGTAAATGAATTAAGCTTCACAGAGGCTAAACACCTTGCCTGGGGCCACCAAGTGAGCATATGGTTGGGACAAGGCTGAAACCCAGGAGTGTCTACCTCTAGGGTCATGCCCTCCCCATGGTACTACACTGGGTCTTGAGCTGGGTGGGGCAGTTGAGGCTGTCTAATCTCCCTGGGCTTCCAGTTCCCAGCCACAAAGTGTGGGGACAGGTGAGACTCTAAAGGGTCTTCTTGTTCTGATTTTTTTTTTTTTTTTTTTGAGATGGAGTCTCGCTCTGTTGCCCAGACTGGAGTGCAATGGTGCAATCTTGTCTCACTGCAACCGCTGCCTCCTGGTTTTAAGCAATTCTCCTGCCTCAGCCTCCGGAGTAGCTGGAATTACAGGCATGCACCACCATACCTGGCTAATTTTGTATTTTTAGTAGAGACGGGGTTTCTCCATGTTGATTAGGCTAGTCTTGAACTCCTGACCTCAGGTGATCTGCCCGCCTCAGCCTCCCAAAGTGCTGGGATTACAGGCTTGAGCCCCTCCCTTGTTCTGATAATTTATTGGACATCAAGACCTCTCCCTACCTGCCCTGCCTGCCTCGATTATCTACTAGAACCCCTGGTACTCCAAGCCCCACAGCCCCTGTGGACTGTTTTTATCCATGAATGGTCCCCCTAACACATGCACTCAAGTTTGAAACCTAAGTGTTATCCTGGACAGTCCTTCCTTTTCCTCAACCAGTATGGCATCAGAGCTCAGCAAATGCAATCCTGAGTGATCCTCAAATCCATCCCCTTCTTTCCATCCTAACTGCCTCCACCTCTCCATCCTAGATTTCCTACCACAGTCTTCCCAACAGTTCTGCCACACGACTTACTGCAGCCAGAGTGATTTCTTTAAGGCTCCAACCTGACCAACTCACCCCTCTGCCTTGACTTCATCTGTGTGGCCTCCAGGGCTTGAAATACCCTTCTGTGCCCGGTTTCCTCCCTGCCAAGCCCCACTCCCCTTGGTCAGCCTAACTCAGCACAAGGGGCATCTCCTCCACAAGGTTTTCTCTGACTTCTGCTCTCCATTGTGGCCTCGGTAGACTTCCATCTGGACACTTATCACCTGTGTCATAATTGCCTCTGTCTCTCAGGGCTAGTATGAGAGTTCTCCAAGGCAACACCTGTATATAGTTTTTCTTGGTATGCGTGGGATGGGGCATGTGGTATATAGCAGGGTTCGATGAGGTATGTATGGATGTATGTATGTATGGATGGATGGATGGATGGATGGATGGATGAGTGGATGGATAGATGGGTGGGTGGGTGGATGGATGGATGGATGGATGGACGGATGAATGGATGGATGGAAGGGTGAATGGATGGATGGATAAGTGAATGGATGGATGGATGGGTGGATGGATGGATGGATGGATGGATGGATTAATGAATGGATGGATGGATAGATGAGTGGATGGATGGGTGGATGGATGGGTGGATGGATGGATGGGTGGAGATGTGGATGCATGGGTGGGTAGGTGGATGGGTGGATAGGTAGATGGATGATGGCAGGATGAATGGGTGGATGGATGAATAAGTGGTTGGATAAATGGATGGATGGATGATGGATAGATGGGTGAATGGATGGGTGGATGAGTGGGTGGATGGGCGGGTGGGTGGATGAATGGATGGATGGATGGATGAGTGAGCAGATGAATTAATGGGTAGGTGGATGGATGGATACCTGAAAAGCCTCCCTTGGGGCTGAATTCCTGCAGCTTAAGGCTCTGGTTCCTGCTAGATGGTGAAGACCTGCATGTGCACTGCCGGGCGCAGTAGCTCACGCCTGTAATCCCAGCATTTGGGAGGCCAAGGCAGGCAGATCACCCGAGGTCAGAAGTTTGAGACCAGTCTGGCCAACATAGTGAAACCCCGTCTCCACTAAAAGCACAAAAAAATTAGCTGGCGTGGCGGCATGCACCTGTAATCCCAGCTACTTGGGAGGCAGAGGCAGAGGAATTGCCTGAACCAGGGAGGTGGAGGTTGCAGTGAGCCGAGATTGTGCCATTGCACTACTGCCTGGATGACAGAGCAAGATTCCGTCTGAAAAAAAAAAGAAGAAGAAGGAAGAAGAAGGAAGAAGAAGGAAGAAGAAGAAGAAGAAGAAGAAGAAGAAGAAGAAGAAGAAGAAGAAGAAGAAGAAGAAGAAGAAGAAGAAGGAGAAGAAAAAGTTGTTGTTTACTAAAAGCCCTTACATCCGTAACTTTCTAGGATTCTAGAATCACATGAGACCATGGGTAAAAGGTGGCCTCATCCTCTCCACCCCCAACATTTCATAGATGAGGAAATCAAAGCTTGAGAGGAGTGAACAAGTTGCCCAAGCTCATACAGCCAATGTTTAGCAGATCGGGGACTAAAATATGTCACTACACCATAGCCTATGGTTTGACCTAAAATTCAGTTTCAGACCTTAATAAGAAGACACAGGATTTTTTTTTTTCTTTCTGTCTTTCTCTCTCTGTGTATGTGTGTGTGTGGTCTACTTTTACCCTAATTAGGGCCATCAGATCCAGTGCCCCCCCGCCCCCATTCTCAGGTATTTACAGTTATTTATTGTCAGAGATGACAGACCCCTTCTTTTATTTATTTATTGAGAGATGGGGTCACGTTATGTTACCCAGGCTAGTCTTGAACTCCTGGGTTCAAACGATCCTCTTGCTTCAGTCTCCCAAATAGCTGGGACTACAGGCATGCACCACAGTACCTGGCTAATTTTTTGTTTATTTTTTGTAGAGTCGAGGTTTCACTATGTTGCCCAGGCTGGTCTTGAACACCTGAGCTCAAGTAATCCACCTGCCTCAGCCTCCCAAAGTGCTGGGATTACAGATGTGAGCCGCATCGCCCAGCCTACTTATATATATATATAT